TTCTGTCATGCCTGACTCCTTGCCAGGTTATCCCTGACAACCTGCCATACACATTCAGGATGATCTCTTAATTCTGAGACCTAATGTGGCCCTCGTCTGCTCGCCAGCGCTAGCTTTCTCCAGCCCTCACATACCACATCCAACTCTGCCCTGGGATGATGGCCATGTGTGAGTTCAAATGGGGAGCAGTCCATGAGGCCTGTAGCATCTCTCGGACTGCAAATCATAAGGGAGGCATATACAGCTCCCACTTCCTTGTGTCTCCCTGTATGCAAGTTCTCATCATATTTTTCATGGGCCAGTTAAAACGTTCCACCAGACCATTCGTCTTGGGATGATATGTCGAGGTCCACAGCTGCTTAATCTTTAGAGTCTCATAAACATCTCTCAATATGCTGAACATAAAACTAGTCCCTTGGTCTGTCAAAATCTCATGGGGTATTCCCATTCAAGAGAGCCATTTGCTCAATTCCACAAGTTTTGCCTGTCAGCAGGTAGAGGTGCAAAGTCGCAGAACCCCTGCACCGATCTCCTCAACAACTGGCAGACTTCATGGCCTCATCAGGGGCTAGCAGGCCTGCAGCTTTCACCCTGCTGCGCCTTCACACACACAGTGTCACCCATGTCACGAGTTTTGCTTGTCTGCAGCTTGAGGGGCAGTTTTCCTCCAACCCCTGAACCTATCTCCTTGAATCTTGGCAGGCTTTGTGGCCACAGCAGGGGCTACCAACCCTGCAGTTTTCACCCTCCTGTGGTGTAACACAAACACGAGACATGAGTTTTGCTTTCAGAAATGTGGGGTGTAGTTTCCCCTGAATCCCTACACTGATCTCCTGGAAACTTGGTAGACTTCATGCTCTCTCCAGAGGCTACTACCCCTGCAAGTTTAATCTGAATCAGCAAAAACACAACAAAGTTATAGATATTTCATTAATTCCCCAGTATACCCCATGGCCGAATCTCCGAAACAAAGCGTGCGTGAAACCGATTCCAAGCTCCGAATCCAATTGCTGGCATTCGAATCGGCTGAATCCAAACCCGAATTGAATAGTTCCCTATTTGCACAGCCCTATTAGCTATTCCTATTTCACAGACATGGTGAAAGATAGGTTTTTTGTTCAGCTGGACTAGAGGGTGTCAGCCCCTCTCACTTCTGCAGCGACATGGATATTGAAATGGGTAGTAGACTGGACTATCATTATAAGTGGAAACACCAGGGGGCAAGCCTTACCCATAAATTGCCAAAAAAGAGGAAGTCTGTTTCTGTTCCAGTGACCATCCATGGTACAAGCTGCACAGAGCCAGGAGTATATCTGGGTGAACTGTGAATGATTTACATTTTCCAGCACACATGAAAACCAGATTCAGAGGCCTATCCATGCACAGGATACAGACACACAGAGCTGTGACAGCCCCTCGTGAGGCAGGAGTGCCTGCTCACAAAATGCAGGAGTGTGACACCAGCCTTGCCCCTGACACAAGTGAATGTAAAAGAAAAAAATAGCACAAAGAGTAGAGAAATTAAACCCATCCACAGAGCTAATGGTTACCCATTTCCATTTTAATTTTAAAAAGGGCAAAACGCCACAGTCTCTTCTTGGGACTCTGTTATTGTGCGAATTTGAAAGGGAAGGCAGCACTCGGTTATTGTAACAGAAAACCGTAAGATCCCATCCTTGTTTTATACATAAAAAAAATTAGGTTTACAAAAACCTGGCTTCAGTCATATCTCAGGTCTGTGCCCTGGGGAATAAAAGACAGCTTTTTCTCCTAGTTCCTCGTGCACTCACATCATGTACAGACCAGGCTTTTTAGAAAACAGCTCATGTTCCAGCTCCTCTCACTTCCTTCTAATCTAAACTCTGTCCATATCCCTGGTTTCTCCCCATTCCCCTGTTTTTCTGTTGGAGCACAGGGATGAGAACAGAGGGTTGTGAATAGGTGGAAGGTAAGTGCTGTCAGGCATGGATCAGCACAAGACTAGTAACAAAACTTGAACAGAGCTATACATTCTTCCAAAATTATACTTTCTAGTGATGCCTTGAATCATTTTTCTAAATACTCAGAGAGGCTGGATGCCAGCGGCGTGAATGTGAGATCAGAGTGATGCCTCACATGTTTTGAAGTCCAATAGACCTTCTCTTAGAAGAGACCCAAGTCTATCTCATCTATCATCCCAAGGACAGAGTCGCCTCTTAGGGAATGGGTCCCTGTTGAGCAGAGGGTGAGCCTTTTGGGTTCTGGCTCCCAGCAGTGCCGGTGTGTAGATAACCAGCACCCAGGGCTGTGGTTTATTCCCTACAGGACGGTACTGTCACAGCAGGAGCCTCCTGCTGGAAACACTGACTGTGGTCTTGGCAGGGCAGCACCTGTTTCCCTGGAAGACAAAGTTTCCCCAGAGCAGGACCAGTGATGCTGGGATATTCCTAAATAAATATGAATGATCCATTTCTGGCTGCAGGGGCCCTGGAGGATTTGGGGACTCTGCAAGGCAGCCTTTCCCCTTAGAAACACTTGGTTAACTGTTAAAAGTTACACAGGCAGGGTCTGACTGTGCTCTCATTGACTCCCTCTGTATAGCACTCTGATGTTGCTAACACCAGTGAAGTTACCTCCAGTTTTACATCAAAGTAGAGAGGGAAGAATGAGGCCAAGCCCTTCACGTGTCTATCCCTGTCAGATGGATGCATGTGGGTCTTTAGCAGCCAGTGAGCCGGGAGCAGATTTGCATGAAGGAGCTGTTCTCAGCTCTAGGCTTTAAGAATGAGTCAGAGGGTCCCAGCCGAGACCTGCTTGCTTCAGGAAGTCGAGCTGGTCTGTATTCCCACCATGGCCAGTGCCCCGCTCCACCTTGCAGTGCTCAGGTACTGCATTGCATTTCGTTTCTCCCCTGGCAGCCAGAAGATTATGGTAAGTGAGATACAAGTCAGGAGTGAGTCTTTCTATTTGCAAATATTTTTCTTCCCTTCCAGGTTCCCTTGCCCACTATGTGATGACTGAGGCATTTTCAGTGTCCATCACTCCAGGACAAACCGCTAACCTCACCTGCACTGGAAGAAATGTTGGTAACTATGTGCAGTGGTTTTAACAGAAACCTGGGAGTGCCCCTGTGCTGATTATATATGGCACTAGCAACAAACCATCCAGCTTCCCTGACCTAGTGCCAGATCTGCTAACACAGCTGTGTTGACCATCACTGGAGTCCAGGCCCAAGATGAGGCTGATTATTACTGCTTCGCTTCTGAAAAAGTCAGCAGCTCTTCTCACAGTGACAGTGTGATGGAGAAGTGAGACACAAACCTGTTTCTCTGAAAGGGAATGGGCCACTTTTGTTTTTAAATGAGAGCTCTTGTCCTAAATGGGGGAAGTGTGGGTAATGAGATGAATAAAAGGTGAATCATTATATCCAATAAGACATCATATTCATTGTATAGAAAAGGAAATTGAGACCCCCCATGATGTATCCTTGGGCACAGTATTGGGCATATCTATGCTGGGGCTGGGAATCCAAACTTTGTCTTCTGGCTCACCCTTGGCCATTCTTCTCCTCCTTTCATTTCTACGTGGGTGAAATGGGCTGAGGAGAGAGGGTCGTCAATAGAGGGAATGTACATGTACTCAGACATGGATCAGATCAAGACTCCTATGAATCTCACTGACTTCTAGAGACTCTCCAAAGATCTGTCCAACATATTGATGTCTCTGGCAATGCCCTGAACCATTTTCCCATCTGCTGATAGAGGCTGAACAGCCAAGATGGTGCATGACCTTATATATATGGTGTATGAAAGTCTACGAGGATGCCGTTCAATAGAAGTTCCCAGGAACTGGTCATCTACAGCCTGTGATCCCATAGTGCAAATTGCCTCTCAGGGCATATATCTGCTTCTGGATCCATCAAGACTTTCCTTCCCCAGGTCCTGTCAGCTGTCACATGGCAGGGGGTTCCTGGGAGGACCCTTTCTGGGGGCTCTCTAAGGTTGTTCAACTGGTTCCTGCTCCTTTCATTGTCAGGATGTTGGGGCAGTGACTATTTTCTAGTCTCTTTATAAAGCAGGAAGAACAGCGGGTCATGCCTATGATGGGGGTCCCTGAGGCATAGCAGTAATATAAATCAGGGCTGTTGAACTGGCAGCCCCCAGGATTCCCCCTGCCACTGCTGCCCTAATTGCCCCAGCTGAGGTCTCTGGGCTCTTCCTCCTCAGTGGGCAGGATGGTGCATTATAGTGTGATACAGAGCAGCCTGCATGGCCAGGGGGCTACAGCACAGTACAAGAGAGGATCAGTGTCCGAGGAGGTGAGGGGGTCTGTACCCCACTGGTGCAGCCCCTGCTGTGCAGCTCCCAGCTGCTAAGAAGTTGCAAACCCCTGACACAAATAATACTCCAAATGGTGCTTGATGAGCCCAGTCTATCTGGGGACCTGGTCTCAGAGAGAAAACCAGTTCAAAATGAGTCCTGAGCTGCCCCTTCACCCTGCCTCAGCTGTGCTACGAGTCCACAAGGCAGTGGCGAAGGTCACTGCACACTGAGCAGGTCTGTCTCAAAACATCAGTGCTTTATGTCTCCATCTCTCACTTCTGCCCCATGAGGTTTCTCCAGCAACTAGATCATTGCTCCAGCCTGTAATCTCCCTTGTAGTTAGACCAGTTGTTTCTGACTGGAAACACTGAATGAAGCCTGTGGAAGGTTTCTGGGTGACAAAATCGGCATCAGGGTGTCCTGGGCTGTGGGGACTTTTTATTATCTCCTTGTAAAAAAAAACAAAACAGGGCAGTTTCCCCAGGTCCTCTGTCCTCCCTTGAGTGGCCACAATATGGGCTGACACCAGTGAGCATGGGAGGAGCACGGGCCGCAGAGTCCCTCCCTTCTCCTCCGGGTTTTCTCATCGGCAGGAATAAGGTGCCAGCAGCAGCCAGTGAGCAGAGGGCAGATTTACATGAAGGGGCCGATATCAGCTGTG